CGACCATGGGCATCCATGCTGTTAGCGTCATGCTAGAGGCTCTCAATAGAGATGCCCAACATGCTACTATCGCCAAGTTCATTCAAAAATGAACTTGACGCAGAACGCGAGAAAGTAGCCTTGCTTCACCAACAAGGTTCTCAACAAGCAGAGTTGTTGAGAGAAACAAGGTGCTCAACAGTTTGAACTGTTGAGACAGCAGCAGGCTGCTGCTGGCGGGTCGATGCACTCGCGTCGGCCCGAGACTTTGAAGATTGACATCTCAAAGTATAGGGGTCGAAGAAGACTCCCTCTTGAGATGGTTCGTCGAATTGGATGACGCCATAAGGGCGCGTCGCATCGACGACGGGGATATGCAAGTTGCATTTGCCCAGTCAAATCTGGCAGGACGTGCCAAGACTTGGGCACTGGGGCTCAAGCTGCACGACCCATATGCGTTTGGGTCGTTGGAAGTCTTCAAGTCGCGGCTCAGACAAACGTTTGAACCGCCTAGAGCTGAGTTCAGAGCTCGAAGACCGAACTCTTGAAGCTCAAGCAGGGTAAGCGTGATGTGCACGCTTACGCTCAACATATACGACATCTCACGAGTTGTATAAGTTCCAATCCGGTGGATGAACACACGTTGGTTTCGGTGTTCATGCAGGGTCTTGCGGATGGTCCCGTCAAGACTCACCTGTTCCGGCTTGAACTAGATTCACTAGAACAAGCCATTTCCATTGCGGAGCAGGAAGACTTCAGTCTGAGACAGGCTCGCGCCAGCTCGACATCATATCGTCAACCGAGACGATATGACAACGGAGGTCCAGAGCCGATGGAACTCTGTTATGTAGAGAGCGAGAAGGCTCGCTCTACAGGCTACAAGAAGTTGCAGAGATGCAACAGATGTCAGAAGACAGGACACTACGCTTACGAGTGTAGTGCCCCTCGTCCAGTGTCTCGCGACACTGGGCGTAGTGACCGTCCACCCATGAGAAAGGGGCAGGGACGAGGGTCCGCAGTTGGTGCAAAGACGCAACAACGGGATGGACCGTCAAAAAACGGACAGGATCAGTAGGTGCGGAGCACCCTACTGATCCAGCAACGTCAAGAGAATTTGTAGGCCTCTTGATGAAGGTTGCTCCCAACACACAGACATTGTGCGTTGCTGCTCTAGGTAATGAGATCTCACTCATTACCTTGAAACTCGAAGTGACGAATAAGTTGTCCCTTCGAGCTCTAGTCGATTGTGGGGCGTCCAACAATTTTGTGCGACGCCAATCGCTAGAAGATGGTCACTTTAAATTCAGTGAATGTGACACACCTCCTACGAGGATGACGGTACGTCTTGCGACAGGCGCATCCGTAACCGTCATGAAGCGTATAGTGAAGATTCACTATACGCTAGAAGATACCCAATACGACGATGACTTTATCGTATTGGATTTGGATGACAAATTTGATGTCATCCTTGGAATACCGTGGCTCAGAAGGTACGAACCACGGGTAAACTGGCAACATCGGACAGTAACGATGCCTGCCGCTTGTTCATCAGATGGCCATCTGATGAACGTTTTGGAAACGTCCACAAGCGTGTGGATGTACTACGAGTGAGTGCGATGGCCTCACTTGTGGTACGGTCGTTAGTACGACTGCACAAAACCTTAGTGTACCAAACGGTTACACTTCGGAGCAAAGTTCCGGCGGCTGTGAGGAAACACAGGCTGCGCCGAAGGTCCACCACTCGAATAAGTCGGGTGGACTGGGACAAAGATGTATCCCTAGCGGGAACATCTAGAAGAGAAACAATCGATCGCTCAGGTTAAGCGAAACGATAATCCTAGATCGACTGGAGAGTCTTTCGTAGAGGATCTCGCTGTGGTTGCGCAACCCCAGCTAGAGGAAGTAAAGGGAATAAGTCCCAAGATTACAAATACGGCGGAAATAAGTTCCCCGAAACCCGCGGGAATAAGTCCCCGGGAAGACGAAGGAATAAGTCCTTCGAAGCCTGAGGGAATAAGTCCCCAGGAAATGACAGAGACATTGAATGTCATAGTCAATAACGGATCATGTGTAGGCGCTTATACACTTGATCTGATTGCGCCTCCGAAGTTAACTTCGGAGATCACTCAGTTGCCAACGCTCGAACATAAAAAGGTTCTTGCGTGATCTGCGTAGTGGCAAAGTCAAGCAGATCTGCATACTCGTCGCTGACGACGAGTATGTAACCGACATAAGGTCAGCAACAGTGTTTACTGAGAACGAGAGAGTTCTCAGTAGTTCATCTATGGACGAGAGTGTCCTAGATGAAAAGACACGAATTGAGCGATATGAGTCCCAATCATGGGAATCGCTCAAGGAAAATCCTCTCTATGAAGATTTGGTTGAATTCAAGGATGTATTCCCTGAAACTGTTCCGTGCGAATTACCGAAGGATAAAGGTATTCGACACGAAGTCGAGCTTAAACCAGGCTCGAAGTACTGTGTCATGAAGCAGTGGCCACTGCCTCGTGAACAAGTACTTGCGATCGACAAGTTCTTTGCCGATCGTTTAGCAGCGGGCCATGTGAGGGAATCAACTTCCCCACATAGCTCTCCGACCTTCTGTGTGCGAAAAGCAACAGGAGGGGTGGCGGATAGTGCACGCGTTTAACAAATTGAACGCTGCAACGGTACCGGCTCAGACGCCGATACCGAGGAAGGACGTAATCATTGATGGTATGTCAAAGAGTACCATCTTTTCGTCCATGGATTTGATGGATGGCTTCTATCAAATCCTAATGCGGGAACAGGATATACCCTATACCGCAGTTAGCACGCCTAGCGGCATGCTCTGGGAATGGCTAGTAATGCCACAAGGGCTCAGTAATGCCCCTGCCACGTTCAACAGGTGTGTATCACATCTGTTGAGGCCAATACGAGAATTCGCGCCGAGTTATTTCGATGACGTATTCATCCATAGTCGAGCTATGGATGGAAAGTCGGACGTTGAGTTCACAGGTACCACGTCCGACAAGTTCTTACAATCATGCGAAAGCATCAATTGTATGCTAACCTCAAGAAGTGTATATTTGCAGCAAGCGAAATACCACTTCTTGGGTGCATCGTTGGTAAGAACGGTGTACGTCCTGATCCCGAAAAGATCAAGGCGATCACCGACTGGCCTGTGCCGGTCGATGTCAAAGGTCTTCGAAAATTCCTTGGGCTAGCGGCGTATTTGCATAAGTATTCACGCAATTACGCCGAGATGACTGTACACCTCTCTCGTTTGTTGAAAAGAACGAGAGGTGGTTATGGAACGCTGAATGTCAACGCTCCTTTGAGGGTATCAAGCAGAGCTTGATACAATCCCCAGTCCTAGCAATAGCCGATCAGGACAGGCCATTTCATGTGGTCTGTGATGCCAGCGATTTCGCAATCGGCTGTGCATTAATGCAGTACGACCTTGAAGGCGTTGAACGCGTCGTCTGCTATCAGTCGCGTCAGCTGCAACCAGCTGAGCGGAACTATCCAGTGCATGACAAGGAACTCCTTGCCATGAAGTATGCACTCGCGAAGTTCAGAGTCTATCTATTAGGAGATAGACCCTTCGTTGTTTACACTGACCATGCGTCCTTACGCACGGCAGTGAACAGCCCACACCTTTCACAACGAATGGCGCGGTGGTTGTCATTCTTTGCAGAATACAACTTTACGGTCGAGTACAAACCAGGACGACTTAATGTCGTCGCTGATGCACTCTCACGTCGTCCCGACTTTGAAACAGTCGCGAAACCCAACAGTGAGACAGTCACTGTTGCGGTTATGACGTCCTCAGTTCCATCTACAACGTTGTATGATGATGTGAGGCGGGCATACGCCCAAGATGGTGAGATAGTGAAGTTGTTGTCACATCTCTCCCAACCATCTCGAGAATCGTTGAAACGATTGTCGTCTGCGTATCGATCTGCATCAGATCGATACACTACTCGTAACGGTTTACTGTACTATACAGCCGTTTCTGGTGACACACCACGTGTTGTCATTCCAGATGATACTGATCTGCGTTTGCGGATCATGTTCGAGATATCACGATGCTCCTATAGGAGGACATCGTGGCCGAGAGAAAACATATCTCACGGTAAGTCGAGACTTTTACTGGCCCCGCCAGTATCAGTTTGTGCGAAAGTATGTTCGCGCATGCGAAGTCTGCCAACGAGTGAAGTCAAGTCCTTCACTGCGTGCACCTTTACAGCCTCTACCGGTTCCGGCTGAGTGCTGGGAATCCATCTCAATGGATTTCGTCTTCGGGTTACCCAAAGACGCACGCGGGAATACAGGTATTCTCGTATTTGTTGACAGATTCAGCAAAATGGTACACCTTGTGGCTGTACCAGAGACAATCACGGCAAGTGGCTGTGCTTGTGTCTTTATTGACACCATCTTCCGACTTCATGGGTTGCCCCGTGAACTCGTATCAGACAGAGATCCACGATTCACTGCTGATTTCTGGCGTTCCGTGTTCAAATCACTCGGAACGCGCTTGAAGATGTCAACATCTGATCATCCAGAGTCAGATGGTCAGACGGAACGTGCCAATCGTGTCCTTGAAGAGATACTTCGAGGATACGTACACTCCTTTAAGAGTTGGAGTGAGTTTTTGCCGATGGTAGAGTTTGCCATCAACAACTCGGTGCATGCGTCCACGACACATACACCGTTTTACGTGAATGGCTTGCGCCATCCGCGTGTACCCACCTTACTAGAGTGTAACTCTGGTTTAAGGGGGGGGGGGACTCGCGCGAGCAAAAACCGATTTGGTTCACGCTCATCACGCTCTGACGAAGAAGTCATTGCGTTTGATGCCGATATCGATAACATCGATATCGAAGAAGATGATGCCAGTGAGAGTGCGGAAGCCCTCACTGAAGACAATGATCCCAGTGAGAGTGCGGAAGCCCTCACTGAAGAAAAGGTTGTTGTCGCTGCAGTGCGCTCACAGCACACTGAAGCTAACGAGTCATCAGATGAGTTCATACTGGCTCGTGAAACGGTAGTCCGTTTTGTGCAAGACTCCATCGCCGAAGCGGTGGATAAGCAAAAAGCAAAACGCTGACAAGAATGGAAGGGCAAACACTCTTTTATTTAATAAAGGTGACTTAGTCCTACTGTCTACGGTTAATCTACCAAAACATGTAGTGACTAACTTGGGTAGCAGTAAACTACTACCCAAGTACATTGGCCCATTTCGTGTATTGCACCGCCTAGGCAATGCATACACGATCGAGTTACCACGTAAGATGCGAACGCATCCCACGTTTTACGTTGGTCGGCTTAAGCCGTACCATCAGTACGCTGCTTCTTCCGATGAAGAACGCCCTTGCGCTCAAGCATCTCGCAGAGAGCCTTGTGCTCCCGATGGTGGGCATCAACAAGGGTCTGAAGAGCAGTTATCTCAGCCCGAGACCGATCAACAATCCCACGAGCTACCCTTAGCTCGTCACGAAAAGATGTCAGAGATCTCTCGTTCTCAAGCTGAGCAAAGGCAAACTCAGCTCGATGCTTCGAGGCAGTGTCCACCATCTGGAGACGCCTATTCCGCTCATGCTCGAGATCGTCGCGTAACCCTTGCGTTACGCGATCAAGAAGCTCTCGGGAACACACCGATCCACATGATCGTGTGGAGAGCGTCTTTCCTCCTCCTCCACCTCCATTAGAGGACTCTCGCGGTGGCCAGCGCTATCTAGTTGAGCAGCTGTTGAACCACCGCGACGTGGAACGGACGTCGGACGAGTTACCTCGTCCGGTGGCGCGGCTATCCCCCGTCCTGGGATTCTTGGGAGCCCCGCTCCCAATTGATGGTTGACGTACTGGGTCTGGTCGAGCAGTACGACGCGACACATCCTGTGCCGCAGAAGGACCGCCGGAGAAAGTCTTCCCGGCACGGTCGTAAAGGGATTTCAGGTTGTCAATCCCTTCGTACATCTCAGTAGAGACACGTACGCGCCACCACGGGCTGGTAAGGAGGTAAGCCTCCTTAGGTGCTCGTGCAGAGTTGTTCACACAACATGGGCACGAGTCTCCCCAAGAGAGGCAGGGTAATCCTTTCTCCCTTGACAGACGATGCAGCTTGTAGCGTGCACCTGTCGGGTTTCGCTTTTTCAAACTTATCACGAGCTTTGATAAGTTTGTCGTTCCAAGCGTCACGACCTACATCCTCGAGATTATGGATGTAGGCGTTCCACGCCTGAAGTAGTGAGGGACCATCACGTTTGTGATTCCCACTGTACCATCGATGTCTGAAGAAAGCATCGATGAAGAACTCATGTTCAGCGCGATAGTCTTTCGCGCTGGGGTCAAGTGATGAATCCTTGACGAATCGAACAATCGTGTTCGATAACGATCACTCGTCGTCGCCGACAAGTGATCCATGACAGATTTAGGAGGCATCCATGCCTTCTTTTCTGGAGCGAGACGCAACACATTGCGGTCCCGCTCTTCCTGCGACGTGCCGACAGAAGTACTGGCACCTCGCTGTGAAGTGGTGTCCATTGGAGAAACGACACCACTATTGGCGCCCGAGTCTCGCGACCTCGAGCGCCTTCGCTTCGGCGATGGTTCATCTGACTCATCAGATGAACCAAAGATACTGCGACGCAAAGCATCGTCCATGCCACGCTTGGCAGGCGGCTTGGATTCAATTGCCGTCGATACGGATCCGTCATCCGTATCAGGAGAGTACGAGACACCGAGCTCGTACTCTGTGAAGACACGAGTGTCTTCATGACCAGCGCCTGCATCACCAGGTGATACAGGCTGAGTCGATTCAGCAACCGATGGGATATCAGTTGCTGTAGTTTCTGCTTCGGCGTCCGCACAGAGACGTGCAGACGCGCTCTCGGCGGCCTTGCTCGCGCATCGCATGGGCTTGTTTACCATGCGATGAGATGTTGGAAAGTGGACGCGGACCAACAAGTGCAAACCCCGTCCCAAATGATTTGGGACGAGTATCCATTTAGTCAATCAGTCACTAAAGTGACTGATGGTTAGGGGGTGATGTAACAGGGTGAATCGTTACATAACAATTTATAAGAAATTGTTAATAGAATATAACTATAAGAGTTATATTCTCAGAATATTGTCATAAGGACAATATTCTGTAGCACTTCCAAGTAGTTCCCTAATTGGTTGATATAGGCCATTATATCAACCAACGAAGACGCGCCACGACAGACGCACGCAATGAGTGGTGAGCAGATAACTGATTTACACATTTGTATTTAGACATAGTTAGATGAAGATAAATAGTGATTTATTGCAGACATTAACTATTATAAATACAGTTCTACTTTTTACTCTAACCGAGTACTCGCTTCTTCTTACCGTCTTCCTCTGCACGTACGAGTGTACGTGAAGTTACGAGGCACCGCCTTATTCTGTTATCAGAATAAGTAGCTTGTACTGTCACCAGTACAAGCTTCAGGGTGCCCCGTTACAATTCAGACACGAAAAGAGGCTTGCTGCTGCAGTTACACCATATGCTTGGACATGTCGCATACGACACTGTCAAGCGCATGGCGAGGGACCCCCAGTCCAGCTAAGCGGTCAAGGATCGCAAGCGCTAAGCGTGCATCTCTTGCGTTCAGGGCAAGAAAACAAAGAACGTATAGTCAAAGAAGGACACTGGCGCGAACTCGACGATCGACAGAGTTGGCAGGGTGTTCTGCTCAGACTTCAGGGTATGATGACCGCGAAGGACCGATTGCGCAATCATTACCTCTTAACTTTGTCGATCACAAGTCGAACTACTGTCGTGTATTCCTGGATCCGACCAAGGAAAAGCAGTCCAAAACGTATGAGCACTCCCTTGCTTTCTTTATGCGCGTTTCGACTGCCAGATCCACGTGCCACACACCGAAGGTGGCGGCGGATACGCGAACATCGACCTCTTCTGCAAGCGGACAGGCGTCTTGCAGCAGATCAGCGAAGCAAAAAATCAGGCTTTAAATGGCAAGGTCGAGCGCATGCACAAGACGATCTTGAACATGGTGTGCAGCATGATCTTCTCCAGCCGACCGCCGGTATGTTTATGGGTTGATGCGGTGGAGTTCGCGGCGTGTATCCTCAACCGCAGCCCAAAGAGTTAACGCTAAGCGCCCGTCTCTGTTCGAGATACTGACAAAGCGCGTGCCAGATCTGCGCGACATCCTCTGCTTCGGTAAGCTCGACTTTAGGCAAGAACTCGCTCACTTAGCGCGCGCTAGTCAGCGCGATCGTCGTGCGAAGAAACGAGACCACGGGCCTTTGCGTCTTCCTCCAGAATGAGAATAAGATAACTGTCATGCAGCATATGCGCAACGTTAAGTTGTTCAGCGCAGAGAATAACGGTTAGCTTCAACGCGCGCTAAAGTAAGACGATCAAACGGTGGGCCAGCAGCGACAGCAACCACGGTTCAATCGTCTTATACCGCTGAAGAAGCACCATAGCCAACAATACGCTGCGAAAAGAAGAAAGCGAAGTCGTGGACACGCGCGCGGCTCAATAGACGTGCAGCGTAACCAACGTGCACAGGATGCTGTCGATCAGGAAGAGCCAGCCCGCGACGACAGCATGGTGGATTATGTGTACATGGGCAATCCTAAGAAGTACGGGGAAGCGCTTTGCAGCACCAAGCGTGGAGGCTAGGAACAGGCTATGCGAGAAGAGCTCCAAATTCTTGAAGACAACAATGTATAGAGCTGGATTATGCGACCGCCGAGCAGCAACGCTATGCACACATAGTGGGTCTTCAAGTTAACGATCCATGTGCAGGAGTAGATCGATTGATCGAAGGCTTGGCTGGTCGCCTACGGTAACAAGCAAGTATTCGGTCTCGACTACCAGCTTAACTTTGTGGCCGTCATGGACACGTCGATCTTAAGGTGATCTTGGCGCTCGCGGCGATACGGTGTTCCACGGAGAAGCAAGGAGCCATCACTAATGCGGATGTCAATGCCGACAAGGAAACGCACTCAGAGGTGTCGCAGGCAACGGAAATCGATCAAGCATTCTCAAGACGCTTGGCGAAGCGACAAAGAAGATATTTTTCCGTCAGTCACGGAAGTGCTTGTACGGCCTCAAGCAGACTCGTTGAGTATAGAGAAACACTGCACCCTCGGCTACTAAAGGCCGACTTCCGGCAATTAATCTCCGAAATGCGTCTCTATTGGCAAGTCAAGGGCGGACGGTTGGTTATCGTGGGCGTGTAAGTTGACGATCTACTCGCCACCGGCAAGGATGCTGCAACCGTCGGCCACTTTTTAGTCAAGATATGCAGCTTATCGATCAAGGCTCAGCGTTGAAAGCATTTATTCTCGCCTTGCTAGGAACGAATGACAAAAGTTGAGGCTACGTGCTTGACTAGGCTAGGGCAATCGGAGAGGTCCTGCGTGAGCTTGGGCTCGAGGACGTGACCTCTACAAAAGAATAAATTGGCGCTGGAAGCCACGGCGTGCTTAAAGATTACATCGCGCTGCTCACTGCGACTAGGGTATCTGGATAGCCAACGATTAAGACATTCTAGTCCCTAGTCAGCAGTCGGCAGTCTGCTGTAAATCGTGCGCTGCACACATCCGGACGTTGCTTTAGCCGTGCCCAAGGGCGACGTGTTAGACTCATCATTCACGAACTCGAGACATTAACCTGGCCAAGGGCATCGCGCGTTACCTGAAAGGCACGCTTGACTACGAGCTTCGCATGAAAGCCAGTGAATGTCCACGACGGCAAGATCCAGCTCAAGGTATACTCGGACGACGACTTTGAGGCGTTAAAGAGCAACAAGAAGTCCATGACCGGCAGTATCATCTGCCTGAACGGCATTCCAGTCTGCTGGACGTTGAAGAATCAATGCATTGATTTTTTCTCGTCGATGGAAGCGAAGGCCGTCGCCGCATAAAAGTAGGTGCGCAACGTGCTCGGTATAAAAGAGATGCTGAACCAGATCAGTGAATCTTCAGCGCTGCCGATGGTGCTCCACGTCGACAACCAAGCGGCATTAAACCAGATGGCCAGCAAGGAGTCATCGCTCAAGGCCAAGGTCGACTTCCGCCCAAAGTTCTTGTGCGACTACGCGTGACAAGGGATCATTGTGTCGCAATACTTCCGCTCGAATCAAGCTCTCGAGAGTCTCCTGACAAGAGCGCTGGGCGAAATCAAGCTCGCGTCGCTGTGTTAGTCGATCATCCTCGTGTACTTGGGTCCAGACGGTAAGCTGAAGTCAAGGAGAATTGCTGGAAGTTGTAGTTGGCAGTCCGCCGGGTTCGGACCAGTTGCAGTAGCGGCTGATGACTGAGATCAACGTCGTACATCAGAACGAGTGGAAAGAGTAGTAAAACGAAACAATCTAGCTGAACAAAAAAAGTCAGAAATTTTATAACAGTGCTCTCGACACCTTCCCATGCCTGGTGAGGTAGCTAGCGAACAGGGTGATTTGAATCAGTAGATCTCGAGTTTCAGTGCAACACCATTCGAAAAGCGCAGTTCGTGAAGAAGATTGCATCGTAGAACTTAAGAAAAAATAGAGGGTAAGGTGCATTTAACATGTGTGGTCTTGTTAAGAATCGTATGTTTGCACTTTAAAGTTGAAAATAGTCCGAAGACATTTGTCGTTTAAAAGAGGTGCCATCGCTGGATCTTATTGGAGTGGTCCTCTTAAAAAAGATAGAGACGTGGTGTTGGCGGATTTGTAGCTAACTCAATCAAGCCTACTGTAACGGGGCACCCTGAAGCTTGTACTGGTGACAGTACAAGCTACTTATTCTGATAACAGAATAAGGCGGTGCCTCGTAACTTCACGTACACTCGTACGTGCAGAGGAAAGACGGTAAGAAGAAGCGAGTACTTGGTTAGAGTAAAAAGTAGAACTGTATTTATAATAGTTAATGTCTGCAATAAATCACTATTTATCTTCATCTAACTATGTCTAAATACAAATGTGTAAATCAGTTATCTGCTCACCACTCATTGCGTGCGTCTGTCGTGGCGCGTCTTCGTTGGTTGATATAATGGCCTATATCAACCAATTAGGAACTACTTGTAAGTGCTACAGAATATTGTCCTTATGACAATATTCTGAGAATATAACTCTTATAGTCATATTCTATTAACAATTTCTTATAAATTGTTATGTAACGATTCACCCCGTTACATCACCCCCCCCTTAACCATCAGTCACTTTAGTGACTGATTGACTAAATGGATACTCGTCCCAAATCATTTGGGACGGGGTTTGCACTTGTTGGTCCGCGTCCACTTTCCAACATCTCATCGCATGGTAAACAAGCCCATGCGATGCGCGAGCAAGGCCGCCGAGAGCGCGTCTGCACGTCTCTGTGCGGACGCCGAAGCAGAAACTACAGCAACTGATGTCCCATCGGTTGCTGAATCGACTCAGCCTGTATCACCTGGTGATGCAGGCGCTGGTCATGAAGACACTCGTGTCTTCACAGAGTACGAGCTCGGTGTCTCGTACTCTCCTGATACGGATGACGGATCCGTATCGACGGCAATTGAATCCAAGCCGCCTGCCAAGCGTGGCATGGACGATGCTTTGCGTCGCAGCATCTTTGGTTCATCTGATGAGTCAGATGAACCATCGCCAAGCGAAGGCGCTCGAGGTCGCGAGACTCGGGCGCTAATAGTGGTGTCGTTTCTCCAATGGACACCACTTCACAGCGAGGTGCCAGTACTTCTGTCGGCACGTCGCAGGAAGAGCGGGACCGCAATGTGTTGCGTCTCGCTCCAGAAAAAGAAGGCATGGATGCCTCCCTAAATCTGTCATGGATCACTTGTCGGCGACGACGGTGATCGTTATCGAACACGATTGTTCGATTCGTCGAGGATTCATCACCTTGACCCCAGCGCGAAAGACTATCGCGCTGAACATGAGTTCTTCATCGATGCTTTCTTCAGACATCGATGGTACAGTGGGAATCACAAACGTGATGGTCCCTCACTACTTCAGGCGTGGAACGCCTACATCCATAATCTCGAGGATGTAGGTCGTGACGCTTGGAACGACAAACTTATCAAAGCTCGTGATAAGTTTGAAAAGCGAACCCCGACAGGTGCACGCTACAAGCTGCATCGTCTGTCAAGGGAGAAAGGATTACCCTGCCTCTCTTGGGGAGACTCGTGCCCATGTTGTGTGAACAACTCTGCACGAGCACCTAAGGAGGCTTACCTCCTTACCAGCCCGTGGTGGCGCGTACGTGTCTCTACTGAGATGTACGAAGGGATTGACAACCTGAAATCCCTTTACGACCGTGCCGGGAAGACTTTCTCCGGCGGTCCTTCTGCGGCACAGGATGTGTCGCGTCGTACTGCTCGACCAGACCCAGTACGTCAACCATCAATTGGGAGCGGGGCTCCCAAGAATCCCAGGACGGGGGATAGCCGCGCCACCGGACGAGGTAACTCGTCCGACGTCCGTTCACGTCGCGGTGGTTCAACAGCTGCTCTACTAGATAGCGCTGGCCACCGCGAGAGTCCTCTAATGGAGGTGGAGGAGGAGGAAAGACGCTCTCCACACGATCATGTGGATCGGTGTGTTCCCGAGAGCTTCTTTGATCGCGTAACGCAAGGGTTACGCGACGATCTCGAGCATGAGCGGAATAGGCGTCTCCAGATGGTGGACACTGCCTCGAAGCATCGAGCTGAGTTTGCCTTTGCTCAGCTTGAGAACGAGAGATCTCTGGCATCTCTTCGTGACGAGCTAAGGGTAGCTCGTGGGATTGTTGATCGGTCTCGGGCTGAGATAACTGCTCTTCAGACCCTTGTTGATGCCCACCATCGGGAGCACAAGGCTCTCTGCGAGATGCTTGAGCGCAAGGGCGTTCTTCATCGGAAGAAGCAGCGTACTGATGGTACGGCTTAAGCCGACCAACGTAAAACGTGGGATGCGTTCGCATCTTACGTGGTAACTCGATCGTGTATGCATTGCCTAGGCGGTGCAATACACGAAATGGGCCAATGTACTTGGGTAGTAGTTTACTGCTACCCAAGTTAGTCACTACATGTTTTTGGTAGATTAACCGTAGACAGTAGGACTAAGTCACCTTTATTAAATAAAGAGTGTTTGCCCTTCCATTCTTGTCAGCGTTTTGCTTTTGCTTATCCACCGCTTCGGCGATGGAGTCTTGCACAAAACGGACTACCGTTTCACGAGCCAGTATGAACTCATCTGATGACTCGTTAGCTTCAGTGTGCTGTGAGCGCACTGCAGCGACAACAACCTTTTCTTCAGTGAGGGCTTCCGCACTCTCACTGGGATCATTGTCTTCAGTGAGGGCTTCCGCACTCTCACTGGCATCATCTTCTTCGATATCGATGTTATCGATATCGGCATCAAACGCAATGACTTCTTCGTCAGAGCGTGATGAGCGTGAACCAAATCGGTTTTTGCTCGCGCGAGTCCCTCCCCCCTTAAACCAGAGTTACACTCTAGTAAGGTGGGTACACGCGGATGGCGCAAGCCATTCACGTAAAACGGTGTATGTGTCGTGGACGCATGCACCGAGTTGTTGATGGCAAACTCTACCATCGGCAAAAACTCACTCCAACTCTTAAAGGAGTGGACGTATCCTCGAAGTATCTCTTCAAGGACACGATTGGCACGTTCCGTCTGACCATCTGACTCTGGATGATCAGATGTTGACATCTTCAAGCGCGTTCCGAGTGATTTGAACACGGAACGCCAGAAATCAGCAGTGAATCGTGGATCTCTGTCTGATACGAGTTCACGGGGCAACCCATGAAGTCGGAAGATGGTGTCAATAAAGACACAAGCACAGCCACTTGCCGTGATTGTCTCTGGTACAGCCACAAGGTGTACCATTTTGCTGAATCTGTCAACAAATACGAGAATACCCGTATTCCCGCGTGCGTCTTTGGGTAACCCGAAGACGAAATCCATTGAGATGGATTCCCAGCACTCAGCCGGAACCGGTAGAGGCTGTAAAGGTGCACACAGTGAAGGACTTGACTTCACTCGTTGGCAGACTTCGCATGCGCGAACATACTTTCGCACAAACTGATACTGGCGGGGCCAGTAAAAGTCTCGACTTACCGTGAGATATGTTTTCTCTCGGCCACGATGTCCTCCTATAGGAGCATCGTGATACTCGAACATGATCCGCAAACGCAGATCAGTATCATCTGGAATGACAACACGTGGTGTGTCACCAGAAACGGCTGTATAGTACAGTAAACCGTTACGAGTAGTGTATCGATCTGATGCAGATCGATACGCAGACGACAATCGTTTCAACGATTCTCGAGATGGTTGGGAGAGATGTGACAACAACTTCACTATCTCACCATCTTGGGCGTATGCCCGCCTCACATCATCATACAACGTTGTAGATGGAACTGAGGACGTCATAACCGCAACAGTGACTGTCTCACTGTTGGGTTTCGCGACTGTTTCAAAGTCGGGACGACGTGAGAGTGCATCAGCGACGACATTAAGTCGTCCTGGTTTGTACTCGACCGTAAAGTTGTATTCTGCAAAGAATGACAACCACCGCGCCATTCGTTGTGAAAGGTGCGGGCTGTTCACTGCCGTGCGTAAGGACGCATGGTCAGTGTAAACAACGAAGGGTCTATCTCCTAATAGATAGACTCTGAACTTCGCGAGTGCATACTTCATGGCAAGGAGTTCCTTGTCATGCACTGGATAGTTCCGCTCAGCTGGTTGCAGCTGACGCGACTGATAGCAGACGACGCGTTCAACGCCTTCAAGGTCGTACTGCATTAATGCACAGCCGATTGCGAAATCGCTGGCATCACAGACCACATGAAATGGCCTGTCCTGATCGGCTATTGCTAGGACTGGGGATTGTATCAAGCTCTGCTTGATACCCTCAAAGAGCGTTGACATTCAGCGTTCCATAACCACCTCTCGTTCTTTTTCAACAAACGAGAGAGGTGTACAGTCATCTCGGCGTAATTGCGTGAATACTTATGCAAATACGCCGCTAGCTAAGGAATTTTCGAAGACCTTTGACATCGACCGGCACAGGCCAGTCGGTGATCGCCTTGATCTTTTCGGGATCAGGACGTACACCGTTCTTACCAACGATGCACCCAAGAAGTGGTATTTCGCTTGCTGCAAATATACACTTCTTGAGGTTAGCATACAATTGATGCTTTCGCATGATTGTAAGAACTTGTCGGACGTGGTACCTGTGAACCTCAACGTCCGACTTTCCATCCATAGCTCGACTATGGATGAATACGTCATCGAAATAACTCGGCGCGAATTCTCGTACTGGCCTCAACAGATGTGATACACACCTGTTGAACGTGGCAGGGGCATTACTGAGCCCTTGTGGCATTACTAGCCATTCCCAGAGCATGCCGCTAGGCGTGCTAACTGCGGTATAGGGTATATCCCGTTCCCGCATTAGGATTTGATAGAAGCCATCCATCAAATCCATGGACGAAAAGATGGTACTCTTTGACATACCATCAATGATTACGTCCTTCCTCGGTATCGGCGTCTGAGCCGGTACCGTTGCAGCGTTCAATTTGTTAAACGCGTGCACTATCCGCCACCCTCCTGTTGCTTTTCGCACACAGAAGGTCGGAGAGCTATGTGGGGAAGTTGATTCCCTCACATGGCCCGCTGCTAAACGATCGGCAAAGAACTTGTCGATCGCAAGTACTTGTTCACGAGGCAGTGGCCACTGCTTCATGACACAGTACTTCGAGCCTGGTTTAAGCTCGACTTCGTGTCGAATACCTTTATCCTTCGGTAATTCGCACGGAACAGTTTCAGGGAATACATCCTTGAATTCAACCAAATCTTCATAGAGAGGATTTTCCTTGAGCGATTCCCATGATTGGGACTCATATCGCTCAATTCGTGTCTTTTCATCTAGGACACTCTCGTCCATAGATGAACTACTGAGAACTCTCTCGTTCTCAGTAAACACTGTTGCTGACCTTATGTCGGTTACATACTCGTCGTCAGCGACGAGTATGCAGATCTGCTTGACTTTGCCACTACGCAGATCACGCAAGAACCTTTTATGTTCGAGCGTTGGCAACTGAGTGATCTCCGAAGTTAACTTCGGAGGCGCAATCAGATCAAGTGTATAGCGCCTACACATGATCCGTTATTGACTATGACATTCAATGTCTCTGTCATTTCCTGGGGACTTATTCCCTCAGGCTTCGAAGGACTTATTCCTTCGTCTTCCCGGGGACTTATTCCCGCGGGTTTCGGGGAACTTATTTCCGCCGTATTTGTAATCTTGGGACTTATTCCCTTTACTTCCTCTAGCTGGGGTTGCGCAACCACAGCGAGATCTCTACGAAAGACTCTCCAGTCGATCTAGGATTATCGTTTCGCTTAACCTGAGCGATCGATTGTTTCTCTTCTAGATGTTCCCCTCTAGGGATACATCTTTGTCCCAGTCCACCCGACTTATTCGAGTGGTGGACCTTCGGCGCAGCCTGTGTTTCCCTCACAGCCGCCGGAACTTTGCTCCGAAGTGTAACCGTTTGGTACACTAAGGTTTTGTGCAGTCGTACTAACGACCGTACCACAAGTGAGGCCATCGCACTCACTCGTAGTACATCCACACGCTTGTGGACGCTCCAAAACGTTCATCAGATGGCCATCTGATGAACAAGCGGCAGGCATCGTTACTGTCCGATGTTGCCAGTTTACCCGTGGTTCGTACCTTCTGAGCCACGGTATTCCAGGATGACATCAAATTTGTCATCCAAATCCAATACGATAAAGTCATCGTCGTATTGGGTATCTTCTAGCGTATAGTGAATCTTCACTATACGCTTCATGACGGTTACGGATGCGCCTGTCGCAAGACGTACCGTCATCCTCGTAGGAGGTGTGTCACATTCACTGAATTTAAAGTGACCATCTTCTAGCGATTGGCGTCGCACAAAATTGTTGGACGCCCCACAATCGACTAGAGCTCGAAGGGACAACTTATTCGTCACTTCGAGTTTCAGGTAATGAGTGAGATCTCATTACCTAGAGCAGCAACGCACAATGTCTGTGTGTTGGGAGCAACCTTCATCAAGAGGCCTACAAATTCTCTTGACGTTGCTGGATCAGTAGGGTGCTCCGCACCTACTGATCCTGTCCGTTTTTTTGACGGTCCATCCCGTTGTTGCGTCTTTGCACCAACTGCGGACCCTCGTCCCTGCCCCTTTCTCATGGGTGGACGGTCACTACGCCCAGTGTCGCGAGACACTGGACGAGGGGCACTACACTCGTAAGCGTAGTGTCCTGTCTTCTGACATCTGTTGCATCTCTGCAACTTCTTGTAGCCTGTAGAGCGAGCCTTCTCGCTCTCTACATAACAGAGTTCCATCGGCTCTGGACCTCCCGTTGTCATATCGTCTCGGTTGACGATATGATGTCGAGCTGGCGCGAGCCTGTCTCAGACTGAAGTCTTCCTGCTCCGCAATGGAAATGGCTTGTTCTAGTGAATCTAGTTCAAGCCGGAACAGGTGAGTCTTGACGGGACCATCCGCAAGACCCTGCATGAACACCGAAACCAACGTGTGTTCATCCACCCGGATTGGAACTTATACAACTCGTGAGATGTCGTATATGTTGAGCGTAAGCGTGCACATCACGCTTACCCTGCTTGAGCTTCAAGAGTTCGGTTCGAGCTCTGAACTCAGCTCTAGGCGGTTCAAACGTTTGTCTGAGCCGCGACTTGAAGACTTCCAACGACCCAAACGCATATGGGTCGTGCAGCTTGAGCCCCCAGTGCCCAAGTCTTGGCACGTCCTGCCAGATTTGACTGGGCAAATGCAACTTGCATATCCCCGTCGTCGATGCGACGCGCCCTTATGGCGTCATCCAATTCGACGAACCATCTCAAGAGGGAGTCTTCTTCGACCCCCCTATACTTTGAGATGTCAATCTTCAAAGTCTCGGGCCGACGCGAGTGCATCGACCCGCCAGCAGCAGCCTGCTGCTGTCTCAACAGTTCAAACTGTTGAGCACCTTGTTCTCTCAACAACTCTGCTTGTTGAGAACCTTGTTGGTGAAGCAAGGCTACTTTCTCGCGTTCTGCGTCAAGTTCATTTTGAATGAACTTGGCGATAGTAGCATGTTGGGCATCTCTATTGAGAGCCTCTAGCATGACGCTAACAGCATGGATGCCCATGGTCGAACCCATTCGTTCAACCGCATCCCATTCGACATCGCTCAAATGGGAGTAGCCGTCACGCGTAGCGTGAAAGCTTTGGTCATCTTCATCATCCAACATATTCATGTTGGATGTGAACGCGGTCCTTGGACGGACTACGAAGTGCTACCAGGTGTAACGGGGGCACCCTGAAGCTTGTACTGGTGACAGTACAAGCTACTTATTCTGATAACAGAATAAGGCGGTGCCTCGTAACTTCACGTACACTCGTACGTGCAGAGGAAGACGGTAAGAAGAAGCGAGTACTCGGTTAGAGTAAAAAGTAGAACTGTATTTATAATAGTTAATGTCTGCAATAAATCACTATTTATCTTCATCTAACTATGTCTAAATACAAATGTGTAAATCAGTTATCTGCTCACCACTCATTGCGTGCGTCTGTCGTGGCGCGTCTTCGTTGGTTGATATAATGGCCTATATCAACCAATTAGGGACTACTTGGAAGTGCTACAGAATATTGTCCTTATGACAATATTCTGAGAATATAACTCTTATAGTTATATTCTATTAACAATTTCTTATAAATTGTTATGTAACGATTCACCCCGTTACATGAATCGTGCTAGTTCGGATCTTCCTGAGTCGTCAGGATCGCCATGATCACGTCGATAGGACCTAATGGCTCGCGAGCCTTCGCGGCCGTCTGTACGTAGAGCACGTTGTGATAAATCGCCACGCCGAACGTGACTTGGCCATTGATGCGCAGTGCCAACACGCGAGACTCGTAGATGAATCCGAAACTCTTCAACTTGATCTTGCCGTAAGACAAGGTGTTTATAAACAGCTTGCGAGCCAGATACACGTTCTTCAGCTTCACTTCTTTCTGCTGTCCTCTCGCGAGCTCAGTTTGCACGACGCTACCGACTCGCGTCAGCTTAATGGTTTCACCTACTGCTGATTGAAATTCTCGATCAAAGCCCCGCGAGTCGTTCAGCAATAATGCATCAGTAACAAGGTGGCAGATGATATCAATCTCGATGATTCAGTCTACTTCTTCTTCGCTGTCGTCGCCCATCGCCATCGCCAGACATTGTCTGGATACGCACGAGCCGTTGCAACCTCTTCCTTCGCCGAAAGATAGAGTGATGCTGCCGCAGTTTTTGGCGCCTTTTTCAGTCTTCTTGTCTTTCAGTCTTCTTGCTGCGGCATTCCTTCTTCTTCAAGTAGCCGACCTTCCCACATCTGTGTCAAGGGAGTGTCTCCTTTAGCAAAGCTGACTCGACCCGTGCGCGACAAAATTCTTCCCAAAAAACGTCCTGATCGTGCTTTTACCTCGACTGCTTGCGCGAAGTGCGCGAACTTTTCCTCGTACACGAGGTAGTCGATGCGGTGTCTGGTACTTCTCCATGAGCATCTTTGTAAGCCCTGGCGAGACGTAGCGCACGATGTCGTTATGAAACTGTTGATCAGAGTTGCTGACAGCGACCGGGTACAATCAGTACTTTGGTCAGGACCTCTTGATCTCTTTCTTCGCGGTGAAGATCTTTGCTGCTCAAGCGACAGTGATCATCGTCTTGAATGTGTTCGGCATGCACTGCATCACGCATTTCAATGTTGGCAGTACGGACCACCACATGACGACCTGCTTGTAGAAGTACCTCTCGGCAGTTCCAGTGTGGTACTGCCCGAGCACGTCGACCTTCACTTTCTCGCTCCACAGAAAGCCACAGGACTTCTATGCCATGTCGGCCTGGCGCCGAAAGGTCTTGCCCCTGAATAGGAAGGACAAACCCGAGTCCGACGTACACCTCGGTGCAATCGAACCCTTGGGACGCCAGCTTGCGCTACCTCGCATCTGGAGCGCAATACTGAATCAGCGTCACTTGTCTCTGCTGCTGCACTAGCTGCCTTTGAGCTACCGGCATCACTTGAGGCGTTGGTGTTGGCTGGTGTGGTGGCAAGAAGGCAGGCAAGAATAGTGACGAATTAATACGCTGCATTGGCTGCTGTATCGTTCGCATCCTTAAATCGTTTAGCCGCGCTGGTACGCGCCGCTCTGGATGCTGAGGCTGCCGATCGTGCAAGTCTTCAAGCTTCATCACTCCGTCGTAGGGTCCCCCTGCAAAGTCCTCCTCGATCTCTGATTTAAACAGCCCGCTATCGTGATGTACGCGCATCCTCTCGTCTTCGTTGAGGCGTACTTGCGACGCCTCTTTCTTCTGCATCCGGAGATCCATGCCCGTGATCATCTCAAGAAATGTCATTAGCGAGTCAGGCTTCGCGCTCATTGCTTGAGAAGTGGGAAAGACTACCGTACCAGGAGCGGCCGCGGCCTTTTCGTGACCTGTTGCTAGCGACGCCTATTATGCGTTGGTTTCGTCATTTGCTTCCCAGTTTAAGATCATACAAACCTGTTCGCTAGTCGTCAGACTAGGCAGAGAGAAAGTGTCAATAGCTCTGTAATGTAAGGATTAAGATGTTGTTGGTTAGCCAGCTTGTTCTGTTCCAATTCTCTCTTGTCCGCTAACTGTAACGGGGTGAATCGTTACATAACAATTTATAAGAAATTGTTAATAGAATATAACTATAAGAGTTATATTCTCAGAATATTGTCATAAGGACAATATCCTGTAGCACTTCCAAGTAGTTCCTAATTGGTTGATATAGGCCATTATATCAACCAACGAAGACGCGCCACGACAGACGCACGCAATGAGTGGTGAGCAGATAACTGATTTACACATTTGTATTTAGACATAGTTAGATGAAGATAAATAGTGATTTATTGCAGACATTAACTATTATAAATACAGTTCTACTTTTACTCTAACCGAGTACTCGCTTCTTCTTACCGTCTTCCTCTGCACGTACGAGTGTACGTGAAGTTACGAGGCACCGCCTTATTCTGTTATCAGAATAAGTAGCTTGTACTGTCACCAGTACAAGCTTCAGGGTGCCCCGTTACACCTGGTAGCACTTTGTAGTCCGTCCAAGGACCGCGTTCACATCCAACATGAATATGTTGGATGATGAAGATGACCAAAGCTTTCACGCTACGCGTGACGGCTACTCCCATTTGAGCGATGTCGAATGGGATGCGGTTGAACGAATGGGTTCGACCATGGGCATCCATGCTGTTAGCGTCATGCTAGAGGCTCTCAATAGAGATGCCCAACATGCTACTATCGCCAAGTTCATTCAAAATGAACTTGACGCAGAACGCGAGAAAGTAGCCTTGCTTCACCAACAAGGTTCTCAACAAGCAGAGTTGTTGAGAGAACAAGGTGCTCAACAGTTTGAACTGTTGAGACAGCAGCAGGCTGCTGCTGGCGGGTCGATGCACTCGCGTCGGCCCGAGACTTTGAAGATTGACATCTCAAAGTATAGGGGGTCGAAGAAGACTCCCTCTTGAGATGGTTCGTCGAATGGATGACGCCATAAGGGCGCGTCGCATCGACGACGGGGATATGCAAGTTGCATTTGCCCAATCAAATCTGGCAGGACGTGCCAAGACTTGGGCACTGGGGCTCAAGCTGCACGACCCATATGCGTTTGGGTCGTTGGAAGTCTTCAAGTCGCGGCTCAGACAAACGTTTGAACCGCCTAGAGCTGAGTTCAGGGGCTCGAACCGAACTCTTGAAGCTCAAGCAGGGTAAGCGTGATGTGCACGCTTACGCTCAACATATACGACATCTCACGAGTTGTATAAGTTCCAATCCGGTGGATGAACACACGTTGGTTTCGGTGTTCATGCAGGGTCTTGCGGATGGTCCCGTCAAGACTCACCTGTTCCGGCTTGAACTAGATTCACTAGAACAAGCCATTTCAATTGCGGAGCAGGAAGACTTCAGTCTGAGACAGGCTCGCGCCAGCTCGACATCATATCGTCAACCGAGACGATATGACAACGGAGGTCCAGAGCCGATGGAACTCTGTTATGTAGAGAGCGAGAAGGCTCGCTCTACAGGCTACAAGAAGTTGCAGAGATGCAACAGATGTCAAAAGACAGGACACTACGCTTACGAGTGTAGTGCTCCTCGTCCAGTGTCTCGCGACACTGGGCGTAGTGACCGTCCACCCATGAGAAAGGGGCAGGGACGAGGGTCCGCAGTTGGTGCAAAAAGACGCAACAACGGGATGGACCGTCAAAAAACGGACAGGATCAGTAGGTGCGGAGCACCCTACTGATCCAGCAACGTCAAGAGAATTTGTAGGCCTCTTGATGAAGGTTGCTCCCCAACACACAGACATTGTGCGTTGCTGCTCTAGGTAATGAGATCTCACTCATTACCTTGAAACTCGAAGTGACGAATAAGTTGTCCCTTCGAGCTCTAGTCGATTGTGGGGCGTCCAACAATTTTGTGCGACGCCAATCGCTAGAAGATGGTCACTTTAAATTCAGTGAATGTGACACACCTCCTTACGAGGATGACGGTACGTCTTGCGACAGGCGCATCCGTAACCGTCATGAAGCGTATAGTGAAGATCCACTATACGCTAGAAGATACCCAATACGACGATGACTTTATCGTATTGGATTTGGATGACAAATTTGATGTCATCCTGGAATACCGTGGCTCAGAAGGTACGAACCACGGGTAAACTGGCAACATCGGACAGTAACGATGCTCGCCGCTTGTTCATCAGATGGCCATCTGATGAACGTTTTGGAGCGTCCACAAGCGTGTGGATGTACTACGAGTGAGTGCGATGGCCTCACTTGTGGTACGGTCGTTAGTACGACTGCACAAAACCTTAGTGTACCAAACGGTTACACTTCGAGCAAAGTTCCGGCGGCTGTGAGGAAACACAGGCTGCGCCGAAGGTCCACCACTCGAATAAGTCGGGTGGACTGGGACAAAGATGTATCCCTAGAGGGGAACATCTAGAAGAGAAACAATCGATCGCTCAGGTTAAGCGAAACGATAATCCTAGATCGACTGGAGAGTCTTTCGTAGAGGATCTCGCTGTGGTTGCGCAACCCCAGCTAGAGGAAGTAAAGGGAATAAGTCCCAAGATTACAAATACGGCGGAAATAAGTTCCCCGAAACCCGCGGGAATAAGTCCCCGGGAAGACGAAGGAATAAGTCCTTCGAAGCCTGAGGGAATAAGTCCCCAGGAAATGACAGAGACATTGAATGTCATAGTCAATAACGGATCATGTGTAGGCGCTTATACACTTGATCTGATTGCGCCTCCGAAGTTAACTTCGGAGATCACTCAGTTGCCAACGCTCGAACATAAAAGGTTCTTGCGTGATCTGCGTAGTGGCAAAGTCAAGCAGATCTGCATACTCGTCGCTGACGACGAGTGTGTAACCGACATAAGGTCAGCAACAGTGTTTACTGAGAACGAGAGAGTTCTCAGTAGTTCATCTATGGACGAGAGTGTCCTAGATGAAAAGACACGAATTGAGCGATATGAGTCCCAATCATGGGAATCGCTCAAGGAAAACCTCTCTATGAGGATTTGGTTGAATTCAAGGATGTATTCCCTGAAACTGTTCCGTGCGAATTACCGAAGGATAAAGGTATTCGACACGAAGTCGAGCTTAAACCAGGCTCGAAGTACTGTGTCATGAAGCAGTGGCCACTGCCTCGTGAACAGTACTTGCGATCGACAAGTTCTTTGCCGATCGTTTAGCAGCGGGCCATGTGAGGGAATCAACTTCCCCACATAGCTCTCCGACCTTCTGTGTGCGAAAAGCAACAGGAGGGTGGCGGATAGTGCACGCGTTTAACAAATTGAACGCTGCAACGGTACCGGCTCAGACGCCGATACCGAGGAAGGACGTAATCATTGATGGTATGTCAAAGAGTACCATCTTTTCGTCCATGGATTTGATGGATGGCTTCTATCAAATCCTAATGCGGGAACGGGATATACCCTATACCGCAGTTAGCACGCCTAGCGGCATGCTCTGGGAATGGCTAGTAATGCCACAAGGGCTCAGTAATGCCCCTGCCACGTTCAACAGGTGTGTATCACATCTGTTGAGGCCAGTACGAGAATTCGCGCCGAGTTATTTCGATGACGTATTCATCCATAGTCGAGCTATGGATGGAAAGTCGGACGTTGAGGTTCACAGGTACCACGTCCGACAAGTTCTTACAATCATGCGAAAGCATCAATTGTATGCTAACCTCAAGAAGTGTATATTTGCAGCAAGCGAAATACCACTTCTTGGGTGCATCGTTGGTAAGAACGGTGTACGTCCTGATCCCGAAAAGATCAAGGCGATCACCGACTGGCCTGTGCCGGTCGATGTCAAAGGTCTTCGAAAATTCCTTCTAGCTAGCGGCGTATTTGCATAAGTATTCACGCAATTACGCCGAGATGACTGTACACCTCTCTCGTTTGTTGAAAAAGAACGAGAGGTGGTTATGGAACGCTGAATGTCAACGCCTTTGAGGGTATCAAGCAGAGCTTGATACAATCCCCAGTCCTAGCAATAGCCGATCAGGACAGGCCATTTCATGTGGTCTGTGATGCCAGCGATTTCGCAATCGGCTGTGCATTAATGCAGTACGACCTTGAAGGCGTTGAACGCGTCGTCTGCTATCAGTCGCGTCAGCTGCAACCAGCTGAGCGGAACTATCCAGTGCATGACAAGGAACTCCTTGCCATGAAGTATGCACTCGCGAAGTTCAGAGTCTATCTATTAGGAGATAGACCCTTTCGTTGTTTACACTGACCATGCGTCCTTACGCACGGCAGTGAACAGCCCGCACCTTTCACAACGAATGGCGCGGTGGTTGTCATTCTTTGCAGAATACAACTTTACGGTCGAGTACAAAACCAGGACGACTTAATGTCGTCGCTGATGCACTCTCACGTCGTCCCGACTTTGAAACAGTCGCGAAACCCAACAGTGAGACAGTCACTGTTGCGGTTATGACGTCCTCAGTTCCATCTACAACGTTGTATGATGATGTGAGGCGGGCATACGCCCAAGATGGTGAGATAGTGAAGTTGTTGTCACATCTCTCCCAACCATCTCGAGAATCGTTGAAACGATTGTCGTCTGCGTATCGATCTGCATCAGATCGATACACTACTCGTAACGGTTTACTGTACTATACAGCCGTTTCTGGTGACACACCACGTGTTGTCATTCCAGATGATACTGATCTGCGTTTGCGGATCATGTTCGAGTATCACAATGCTCCTATAGGAGGACATCGTGGCCGAGAGAAAACATATCTCACGGTAAGTCGAGACTTTTACTGGCCCCGCCAGTATCAGTTTGTGCGAAAGTATGTTCGCGCATGCGAAGTCTGCCAACGAGTGAAGTCAAGTCCTTCACTGCGTGCACCTTTACAGCCTCTACCGGTTCCGGCTGAGTGCTGGGAATCCATCTCAATGGATTTCGTCTTCGGGTTACCCAAAGACGCACGCGGGAATACGGGTATTCTCGTATTTGTTGACAGATTCAGCAAAATGGTACACCTTGTGGCTGTACCAGAGACAATCACGGCAAGTGGCTGTGCTTGTGTCTTTATTGACACCATCTTCCGACTTCATGGGTTGCCCCGTGAACTCGTATCAGACAGAGATCCACGATTCACTGCTGATTTCTGGCGTTCCGTGTTCAAATCACTCGGAACGCGCTTGAAGATGTCAACATCTGATCATCCAGAGTCAGATGGTCAGACGGAACGTGCCAACCGTGTCCTCGAAGAGATACTTCGAGGATACGTACACTCCTTTAAAAGTTGGAGTGAGTTTTTGCCAATGGTAGAGTTTGCCATCAACAACTCGGTGCATGCGTCCACGACACATACACCGTTTTACGTGAATGGCTTGCGCCATCCGCGTGTACCCACCTTACTAGAGTGTAACTCTGGTTTAAGAGGGGGAGGGACTCGCGCGAGCAAAAACCGATTTGGTTCACGCTCATCACGCTCTGACGAAGAAGTCATTGGCGTTTGATGCCGATATCGATAACATCGATATCGAAGAAGATGATGCCAGTGAGAGTGCGGAAGCCCTCACTGAAGACAATGATCCCAGTGAGAGTGCGGAAGCCCTCACTGAAGAAAAGGTTGTTGTCGCTGCAGTGCGCTCACAGCACACTGAAGCTAACGAGTCATCAGATGAGTTCATACTGGCTCGTGAAACGGTAGTCCGTTTTGTGCAAGACTCCATCGCCGAAGCGGTGGATAAGCAAAAGCAAAACGCTGACAAGAATGGAAGGGCAAACACTCTTTATTTAATAAAGGTGACTTAGTCCTACTGTCTACGGTTAATCTACCAAAACATGTAGTGACTAACTTGGGTAGCAGTAAACTACTACCCAAGTACATTGTCTATTTCGTGTATTGCACCGCCTAGGCAATGCATACACGATCGAGTTACCACGTAAGATGCGAACGCATCCCACGTTTTACGTTGGTCGGCTTAAGCCGTACCATCAGTACGCTGCTTCTTCCGATGAAGAACGCCCTTGCGCTCAAGCATCTCGCAGAGAGCCTTGTGCTCCCGATGGTGGGCATCAACAAGGGTCTGAAGAGCAGTTATCTCAGCCCGAGACCGATCAACAATCCCACGAGCTACCCTTAGCTCGTCACGAAGAGATGTCAGAGATCTCTCGTTCTCAAGCTGAGCAAAGGCAAACTCAGCTCGATGCTTCGAGGCAGTGTCCACCATCTGGAGACGCCTATTCCGCTCATGCTCGAGATCGTCGCGTAACCCTTGCGTTACGCGATCAAAGAAGCTCTCGGGAACACACCGATCCACATGATCGTGTGGAGAGCGTCTTTCCTCCTCCTCCACCTCCATTAGAGGACTCTCGCGGTGGCCAGCGCTATCTAGTAGAGCAGCTGTTGAACCACCGCGACGTGAACGGACGTCGGACGAGTTACCTCGTCCGGTGGCGCGGCTATCCCCCGTCCTGGGATTCTTGGGAGCCCCGCTCCCAATTGATGGTTGACGTACTGGGTCTGGTCGAGCAGTACGACGCGACACATCCTGTGCCGCAGAAGGACCGCCGGAGAAAGTCTTCCCGGCACGGTCGTAAAGGGATTTCAGGTTGTCAATCCCTTCGTACATCTCAGTAGAGACACGTACGCGCCACCACGGGCTGGTAGGAGGTAAGCCTCTTAGGTGCTCGTGCAGAGTTGTTCACACAACATGGGCACGAGTCTCCCCAAGAGAGGCAGGGTAATCCTTTCTCCCTTGACAGACGATGCAGCTTATAGCGTGCACCTGTCGGGGTTCGCTTTTCAAACTTATCACGAGCTTTGATAAGTTTGTCGTTCCAAGCGTCACGACCTACATCCTCGAGATTATGGATGTAGGCGTTCCACGCCTGAAGTAGTGAGGGACCATCACGTTTGTGATTCCCACTGTACCATCGATGTCTGAAGAAAGCATCGATGAAGAACTCATGTTCAGCGCGATAGTCTTTTCGCGCTGGGGTCAAGGTGATGGATCTCTGACGAATCGAACAATCGTGTTCGATAACGATCACTCGTCGTCGCCGACAAGTGATCCATGACAGATTTAGGAGGCATCCATGCCTTCTTTTCTGGAGCGAGACGCAACACATTGCGGTCCCGCTCTTCCTGCGACGTGCCGACAGAAGTACTGGCACTGCTGTGAAGTGGTGTCCATTGGAGAAACGACACCACTATTAGCGCCCGAGTCTCGCGACCTCGAGCGCCTTCGCTTGGCGATGGTTCATCTGACTCATCAGATGAACCAAAGATGCTGCGACGCAAAGCATCGTCCATGCCACGCTTGGCAGGCGGCTTGGATTCAATTGCCGTCGATACGGATCCGTCATCCGTATCAGGAGAGTACGAGACACCGAGCTCGTACTCTGTGAAGACACGAGTGTCTTCATGACCAGCGCCTGCATCACCAGGTGATACAGGCTGAGTCGATTCAGCAACCGATGGGACATCAGTTGCTGTAGTTTCTGCTTCGGCGTCCGCACAGAGACGTGCAGACGCGCTCTCGGCGGCCTTGCTCGCGCATCGCATGGGCTTGTTTACCATGCGATGAGATGTTGGAAAGTGGACGCGGACCAACAAGTGCAAACCCCGTCCCAAATGATTTGGGACGAGTATCCATTTAGTCAATCAGTCACTAAGGTGACTGATGGTTAAGGGGGTGATGTAACGGGGTGAATCGTTACATAACAATTTATAAGAAATTGTTAATAGAATATAACTATAAGAGTTATATTCTCAGAATATTGTCATAAGGACAATATCCTGTAGCACTTCCAAGTAGTTCCTAATTGGTTGATATAGGCCATTATATCAACCAACGAAGACGCGCCACGACAGACGCACGCAATGAGTGGTGAGCAGATAACTGATTTACACATTTGTATTTAGACATAGTTAGATGAAGATAAATAGTGATTTATTGCAGACATTAACTATTATAAATACAGTTCTACTTTTTACTCTAACCGAGTACTCGCTTCTTCTTACCGTCTTCCTCTGCACGTACGAGTGTACGTGAAGTTACGAGGCACCGCCTTATTCTGTTATCAGAATAAATAGCTTGTACTGTCACCAGTACAAGCTTCAGGGTGCCCCGTTACACTAACTCTTGTGTCCAACGTTTTTCTCAGTCATCAGCCACTACTTCATCTGGTCTGAATCCAGCGGAATGTCATCTCCAACTTCCGACACACCCTTCTTGCGGCTATCCGCCATTTGACGCTATTTATTTGTTGAATCAAAGATGTCCAATAGTTCCAGCTTGTCAAGCACAAGATACTCCAGATCTTACAGCTCTTCTACGAGCTGTTTAAACCTTTTATGTTTCTTTTAAAAACGTAGATCAAGGTTACGATGTAGCAGCTTATATTGAAAAGAATTTACTCTTAGATAGTCCTACAGAAAAACTTGACTTCAAGGGGCCTCTGAATTCAACCACTTGTTACAGTAGGGGTGAAGGCTCACGAGCGAAAACTGAAGACTTATAATTTGCTCCCTTGTTGTTACATTTAACGTAAGTTACTTGCAAACAAGTAAAACTTCGACTTGATATCGATTGATAACTTCGAACGACCAACTCTGGCAGAGCCGCCTCTATTGCGTACTAAAAAATCCACATCTACGTCGGCGAACATTAATTCTTGCCATCCTATAGTCTTTAACCCTGATGCCATTCGTACTAATTAGCTACAACGCTACTAAGCCAGCACAAACCTGGGCGTGCTGCTGCGTAATATGGATACCTACATCGCAGCAAGTTAAACGGCCTAAAATTATGTCGCTGAAGAAGATGCAAGTCTTAAAATTTGTCATACTGCGTTAGCAGTTACATGACCTGGATAATGCTTCGACCACCCGATTCTGAGATGAAGCTGCACGATACATTGAGTGCTGCATACTAGTCTTTATTGGGTTGTCAGAATTGCAGTTCGCGCTGGGTCCTCTTTTCGGATCTTGGTAGATGCGGTGTAAAGATGTCTCTGCTCCATTCGTATTATTGACTTCCATCGATATGCTATACTACTTCGTATCACGCACCGTATATGCGAAGGTAGGGTAATCGGAATTACGTGGGATAGTCTCGGTCAAAAGCCATTCGGACAACACAGACTTTTGTATCCATGCACAATTGCTTACGTGATAAAATTAGTGCAACGGTTGGAGTCCGTTATTCGAAAATTATACGAATTTATCATTTTTTGAGTATTATCTTTCCAGATAATGTTCAATCAACATCACTGAGAAGAGGTGATGTTGGCATTTAATTACCTTCGGAAGTAATATTCTGGGTTGCTCCTATTTTGGTTGAAGTAGATACCACTTCAACCACATTAACCATCAATCGATGCTGTACGTGCGCTATTAGTGGCGAACAAGAAATCTGTAAAGGGGGTTCATTTCGGCTTTGTCAGCTTAAGACAAATACGATTTGCAAAAAGACGTAACTGTGATGGGGTAGCCCGTGACATGAAATTGACGCCAAACGGTGTCAATAGGGAGATTGTCTGGCATGATGATTCCCCGTCAAAATTGTCCGAGATAGATAATATTGAAGGAATACTATCCTCTTTTGGATAATATTCATTCGCTGCTCCAAGATTGGTATTTATAAGACATGTCAACCATAGATTGCCACCAATCGCTGCTAGACGCGCGCAATGAGTGGTGAGCGGGTTATCGTCATACGACGACGTAGTTCAATCTAGTCAGATAAAGATTATAGCTATATTGATAGCTTGGGTATATTAATTACGGTTCTCTTTTAACCTTTACTTGACCGAGTCGTTCAAGTAGATAAGCTTCCTCGGCACGTACGAATGTATGTAAATTTTTGTGGCACCCAAACAAAAGCGTGCCCCGTTACTCCTGGTAGCACTTCGTAGTCCGTCCAAAGACTGCTAAGCGTCCGTCCAACATGAACATGTTGGACGTAGAAGACAACAGCTTTTACGTCACAAGTGAAGGCTACTCACACATAAGTGACTCAGAATGGGAGGTAGTTGGCCGCATGAGTTTGCTCATAGGCGAACCCGCCATCAGTGGTATGTTGGAGTCTCTAAGCAGAGACCAGCAACAGGCTGCTATAGGCAAGTTCCTACAAGGGGTCTTGCCGTCGAACGACAGAAGATTGCCTTGCTCGAACAGCAAGACTCTCATCAGTCGATGAGTGGGCCGACGCACATGCGTCGACCCGAAACCTTGAAGATTGAAATCTCATGGTACGAGTGAACCGCTGAAGATTCCCAATGAGATGGTTCGTCGAGTTAGACGACACCATCAGGGCCCGTCACATCGAGGGTGACGAGATGCAAGTCACCTTAGCCCTGTCAAATTTGACAGGACGAGCAAAGACTTGGGCCTTAGGACTCAAGCTACACAATTTCAAACGTGTTCGAGTCGTTGGAGATCTTAAAGTATCGGCTTAAAGAGACGTTTAAGCCGCCGAGAGCCGAGTTCAGCGCATGCTCTATACTCTTGAGGTTTGAGCAAGGTATGCGTGATGTGCACGCTTACGCACAACATCTACGCTACTTTGCGAGTAGCGTTACAAAAAACCCTGTTGATGATCGTACGCTCATCAACGTGTTCATCTACGGCCTTGTGGATGGACCGGTGAAGACCGAATGTTCCAAGAGAGCCTCCATGCGCTGGAAACGCGATAGTGTATGCGGAGCAAGAAGACTTCAGCCGGCGACGGTATCAGGCTAATTCGTCAAACTATCGTCTGACGAGACGACAGGAAACAGGAGGTCCTAAACCAATGAACCTCTGTTGCATCTAGAGCGAGAACTCTCGCTCTCCGAATCACAAGCGAACGGCAAGATGCCATCGCTGTCAGAAAATTGGACACTACGCCCATGCGTGTAGTGTCCCAAGCACTGCAACACGTCTAAAGACACAACATGATGACCACCGTTGGCCAAGGTAAGGTCCGAAGCGAGAATCCGACCATGTCGCCAAGCCGCGACAGCAAGTCGGACCGTCAAAAACCGGACAGGGTCAAGAGGGGTGGGTCATCCTGCTGATTCAGCAACGTCAAGATACTTTGCAGGACGCTTAACAAAGATGGCTTCTAACACACAGTTGCTGTGTGTTACTGCCCCTGGTAATGGGGAGTCTCTCATCACTTTGAAAATAGAAGTGACAAGTGGAATGTAACTGCGCACCCTAGTTGGGTGTGGGGAGTCAACCAGTTTTATTCGACGCCAGTCTCTAAAATATTGTAGGCTCAACTGTGATGAGCGGGATATTCCTCTTACGAAGATGACGGTGTGCCTTGCTACAGGCGCATCCGTAACAGTGAATAGACGTGCAGTGGAAATATACTACACGCTACAACTAAAGCAGTACGATGATGACTTCATCGTACTGGATTTGGATGACAAATTTGATGTCTTCCTCGGTCTGCCATGGCTTAGAAAGTACCAGCTATGGGTTATCTGACAGCATCGACCCGTGAAGATGCCTACCGTTTGTTCATCGGATGGCCATCTAATGAACGTCTTGGAGCGTCCACAAGCGTGTGGATGCACTGCAAGTGAGTGCGATGGCCTCACTGGTGGTACGGTCGTTAGTATGACTGCACAAGATCACAGTGTAGAAGGCCACTGCACTGTGGAATCAGATTCGGCACCTGTGTAGAGACACAGGCTGCACCGAAGGTTCACCACTCGAAGAGATCAAGTGGACTGTAACACGGATGCACACCAAGAAGGGTACATCCGAGAAGAGATAGTAGTGTTGTTCAGGATGGATAACACGTTGAGGCGAGATCGACTATCAGAGAGTTGATCGTAGAGCAAGCCCGATCGACTGAGAGAGAGTCGTTTGAAGAGAACGTGACCGTTATAGTACACGCAATGGAAGAAAAATCCAGCGTTCCTGAGAGCAATAACTACCGAGAGAGTTACGTTGAGGGTGTGAATTTCCAACCACCTGCGGATGTGGTTTCCCAGGAAATCACCTAAACATTGAATGTCTTGGTGAATGACGGATCAAGTGTAGGCGCTTATACACTTGATCTGGTGACGCCCTCGAAGTCAGCTTCGGAGGTATTCAAGTTGCCAACGCTAGAATCTAAAAGATACTTGCGAGATCTGCGTAGTGACAAGATCAAGCAGATCTGCGTACTCGTCACAGAGGAGGAGCACTTCGCCGATATTCGGTCAGCACAAGTGTTTGCTGAGAACGAACGGGTTCTCAGTAGTTCATCTATGGACGAGATTGTCCTCGATGAGAAGACCCGGATTGAGCGATGCACGTCTCAATCTTGGGAGTCTTTAAAGACTTAATCCTTTGCATTATAATTTAGTGGAATTCAGGGATGTTTTCCAGGAATCCGTGCCATGCGATCTGCCCAAAGACAAAGTCACTCGTCATGAGATCAAACTGAAACCCTGTTCGAAGTACTGTGTCATGAAGCAGTGGCCACTGCCTCGTGAACGGGTAACAGCGATCGAAAAATTCTTTGCCGATCGTTTAGCGGCTGTTCATGTGAGGGAATCAACATCCCCACACAGCTCTCCGAC